CAGATTAGTTATGCGGTTTATTTAAAGGCAAAAAAATTATTTTTACATTGTAAGAATTTTTTTAGATAATGATAGTTTAGTGATACAGCTCTTACTAATTAACCCATAGACTGGATGAAAAGAAGTGGATTCAAAACTTTTCCAAGGGTATTTGTTAAATTAAAGTTAATATAACGAAACCAAAGGAAATTAGAAATTCTCCTCTCTAATTAAAAATTTCGAGCCATTATTCATTACACCACGCGTACATCCAAGCATACCAAAGCGGTCACTCATCTTGTTACTGACCGGTTTAGACGTAGCTTAACTTCGATGATCGTTTCAAACTGATGTGGCCGTAAGCTATAGGTCATCGAATTGACGTTCATAATTGCCAAAAACTAGCAAAGTCTAAATAAAAACGAAAGTGTAGTCACACAAAGAAATGAGGCGTCATGAGTAAGACGATAGACTGCATAGGCGTCCTGGTTAAAACGATAAACTATACCCTGTGCCCTGGGTAATACGATAGACTACATAGGCGTTCTGGGTAAGACGATAAACTATACCCGGTGAACTGCATAGGCGTCCTGGGTAAGAGGATAAACAAGGTCGAACAGAAAGGCCTCTGATAAGAAGGGTTTGAGGAGCGTGGAACCATCTCAAAATTGCTGGTGTTCCCAGGTCCACTCTGACCCGAGGTGGTAGCACCGGTTAGGGCCTCAGCTATGGGCAAATAATTAACCTCTAAACTTGGGTGAGAGTAGTATGAAAGTCTAAAAATAGGTTATAATGGCAGAAATATTTTTTGGAAAAAAATTATTACCAGCAATACATTTTTGAAAATAAAAATTATCATCTATACATTTTTTGAAAAAAATATTACCAGCAATAGATTTTATGAAGAACAAAAATATTACCAGCAATACATTTTTGGAAAAAATATTACCAGTAATAAAAATTTTGTCGTCATTAATCAATCCATTGAGGTTGATATACCGTAAAACAAACCAAACCAAATCAATATATACTGAGATAGATAGATAGATAGATAGATAGATAGATAGATAGATAGACTACCAGCAATAAAAATATTTGTCGGCATTAAATAACCCATTGAGGTTGATATGTCGTAAAACAAACCCAACCAAATCAATATATACTGAGATAGATAGATAGATAGATAGATAGATAGATAGATAGATAGATTACCAGCGATAAAAATCTTGTCGGCATTAAATAACCCATTGCGGATGATATGCCGTAAAACAAAAACAAACCAAATCAATATATATATATATATATATATATATATATATATATATATATATAGATAGATAGATAGATAGATAGATAGATAGATAGATAGATATGAAGAGACCAAGTGAGACAGATAGGCATAAAGAGATCAAAGATAGATAGATAGATAGATAGATAGATAGATAGATAGATAGATAGATAGATAGATAAAAAATATTACCAGCAATAAAAATATTTGTCGGCATTAAATAACCCATTGAGGTTGATATGTCGTAAAACAAAATAAACCAAACCAAAGATAACAAATACCTATACTCGGAATAAGAACAAGACAACAGAGAATTCTGGGACACAAAGCGGAAGGAGAGTTTGGAATGATCTGCCCTCAGAGGACATATCGGAGACAAAAATGTCAGGAGGGGGTAGCGGTCCACCTACGAGATGAGCTTGAATGGCAGATTGGAGGATTGATAAAGGGACTAACATTTTTAAAAACTACAAAGGATAGGAAGTTGGGAAGGGCCATTAATATCTGAGAAGAATCAGAAAGAGAACTATAAGTTTCTTATTAAATATTAATAGTTTGTTCATTTCTGGCTGTTCGTGGTCAACCGAAACTTGAAAAGTTGTAAATTTATGAGACCTGGCAGCCAATCAAGTACTGCGTTTAAAATCGTATAGTCTCGGTACCATAGCGAAAAGATAGTCAGAATAATTTCTATGAAAGTATTTCTAGAAAACACACAGGGAAGCTACGTTACGGCGTTGGGAAAGTGAGTGAAGCCAAGACACACGGTCAGGATCATGGATTCTTTGTTTTTGAAACAACTACTCAATAGAATCGATTCTCCAATAGAAGAAACTGTTAGCATAGAACTTACGGTTACATCTAGCCGTTTCAACGGTAACATGATGAAACCTAGCCGCCAAACTAATCTTCTCCCTTTATGTGCATGACCCTTCACGACGTAGGCGATCCTGGCTCCCCACTTCCCCATATCCATTGTAGTTCTCAGTATCTGTCATTAACTTTCTTAAGCCCGATGCGTTGCTTTCCTTTGTCTCTCTTACCGGCTATCCGCCCTGAGACTCCGCTGAAATTCTAGGGGCCGTAGAGGAAAGTTCATCAGAACAATTACCATGAAACTATTTATGAAAAAAAGCATCTGAAACCGTTAAATTAAACGTTGAATGTTGGATCAACGCAGCTCGTCTAACTGAACAAGAATAATGAGTAGTGAGTTTGATACTCACTGGGTGCCTTCTACAATATTTGACATTACATAACCGAACGAGTGTTGACATGTAAAATCAACAAATACAGCATTTTCAGCCTGTGGGTGATGGTCTGGAAGATCTCTTGTTAAGCCTTAAAATTGAATAGTGAGTTTCATAGTCACTGGATGCCCTCAACAACATTCGACGTTACATAACTGAACGAGTGTTGACATGTAAAATAAAAAAAAAATACAGCATTTTCAGCCTGGGGTGATGGTCAAGGATATGTCTGGTTAAGCCTTACAGTTGAATAGTGAGTTTGATACTCACTGGCTGCCCTCTACAAAATTCGCCATTACATATCCGAACGAGTGCTGACATGTAAAATCAACCAATACAGCATTTTTAGCCTGTGGGTGATGATCAGGGAGATGACTGGTTAAGCCTTGCAATTGAATAGTGAGTTTCATACTCACTGGGTGCCCTCTACAATATTCAACATTGCATATCCGCACGAGTGTTGGCATGTAAAATCAACAAATACAGCATTTTCAGCCTGGGGTGATGATCAAGGAGATGTCTGGTTAAGCCTTACAATTGAATAGTGGGTTTGGTCCTCACTGTGTCCTATACAATATTCAGTCAAGTAACCCAACAAGGATTGCTCTCTCGTAAAATCAGCAAGTGCAAGATTTAATAAAAGAGAGAAAAGATATATATCACAATTAAAAAGAAAAATAAATAAATAGGAAATGAATTGTTTTATCGTTTTGTCTTTTCCCTTTTTTCTTATTTTTTCATTCTTCTTTCACTCCTTCTTTTTCCATCTTTTTATTATCTTCCCTTTTCACTTTTTTTTTGGCCAAATTTTTCTACAACTTTCATGATGTTACTAATACGCAACCATCTTCCATCAAAAGATATGCCGCTCTTAATCTCTTCAGCCTCTTTATCATATTCCAGTACGTCTAACTGTCGTCACTAATGGAATAATATGATTTTAAGCAATAAATGCTACAATATATTGCATGGACCACCGCCTGCCTTGCCCGACGCTGCACAATCGACTTGACTATCAATTACAAACATTCGCCTTGATTTATAACGAAACGCCATCCCACCAATAGTCGGGTACCACCTTCTCTTCAATGGAATTTGTTTCCTGAGTAATGGTACCATGTTTTTTTCAAAGGTTGAATACTGGAATGTGTTATCAAAATACTCAGCATAAGAAAGAAAGAAAGAAAGAAAGATAGAAAGACAACAGGAAAAGAAAGGAAGTAGAATAGAAAGTATGAAATAAAATGACAGAATAAAGTAAACAAAAAAAAAAGATAAAGAAAGGTTGAAATAAAAGAAAGGTGGTAAGAAAGAAAAGAAAGGAAGAACAGAACTAAATAAAAGAAAGAAATTAATTTCTTCAAAAAAGCAAGAAACAAAAAAAAAAGAAAAGAAAGAAGAAACGAAGGAAGACAGAATAGAAAAAAAGAAAAAAGAATGAAAATGAAACAGAAGAAAGACAAAGAATAACCAGGGAAAGAAACTAAAGAAAGAAAAACGCCATGAAGAAAAAGAAATGAAATATAAAAAGGAATAAAACGAAGAATAAGAAAAAGACAAAAATAAGGTAAATGAAACTAAGAAATAATAAACAGCGAACGGAAGGAAGAAAGCAACAAGGCAATTAAAGAAAGAAAGAAAAAGAAAAAGGAGAAAAAAAAACCAACAAAAAGGACTAATGAACAGGAAGAAAAAAGAAAGAAAATTAAAAAAAAAAGAAATGTAAGAATAAAAGAAAGAAAGAAATAATGAACACTGAAAGAAAGCAAAAAAAAAAAGAAAAAAATGAAGAAAAAAGAAGAGAACGGAGGAAAAGAAAATATAAGAACGCCCCCCCCTGTTGAATACAAAGAACAACACAGTAAAAACCAGAACCTCATAAATATGGTCGGAAGATAAAAAATGTTGTTTGCATCGTGCTAAATAGCTGTCAGACAGCAAATACTGATCCTTCCGTCAAAATATTTCGAGGTTCAACTTATTTTTTCACATATAACAACATGGCGAAGAAATTTGTCTATTTGCCGACTACCTTCGCCCAGCAGAGATTCGTATTGTATTGTTAACTTCTGTTAGGCACGCCATCATGCAATGAGCCATCCCAACACAGCTGCACACCTCAACTCTCTGTGATCTACTAAATCTTGATTGTCTAGAGGAGAGTAATGGTGAACAACTTGCTTTAACAGACGATTAACAGAATGTAATGAGTTTGTGCCGCAGCGAACTCCAGTACATCAGCCGTGTGTCAGATCAAGCTAAATTTAGTAAATACCTATGTGCGTACTTTGCGTTGGGGCAAATTTTAGCGAATTAGTCTAGCAAGGCGAAATGACTCTATAGTAAATAGTATCCTCACCGGGTGCTCAATATTTGTGACGTTTATCAGACTTAGCTGGCTTTCGTATATACCTCTGTGGTTGGAGGGCACCTCGAGGCGGTGTAATCGTTAGCAAGCTTGTCACACTTGAACGATTACGGCTGAGTCGTGAGTTCGATCTCCACTAGGGGCCCCGCTTGTGCCACATCTAATCTGCGCTTGGAAAATCATTTAAGGCGATTCAAAGTGGTGTAATGGTTAGCAAGCTTGTCTCGCTAAAACTGAATAGTGAGTTTGATTCTCACTGAGTGCTCCTTAATTTCGGCCTTGTGCCATATTCAAGTTACGCTTAGAAAATTAATATGGGGCTCCTCGATGCGGTTTAATGGTTAGCAAGATTGTCTCGCTAGAACTGAGTAGTGAGTTCGATTCTCACGGTGTTCCAGTTACTTTCGGCCTTGTGTCATATCTAAGCTACACTTGAAAAATCACTATACTACTGTGGGTTGAGTAATGATTAGAAATAAGTCTAGAAGGTCATTCCTACTGTAGTGAGTTCTTAATGCTTGTTCAGTAATTGTGACTTTGTGGCTGATCATACTTCTTTCTATGTGCCGCGTCCTTTCAGGACATGGGCGATCATGGTTGTCCACAACTTCCTATCCTTTTTGGCCATTAATATTTCTCCCACTGCTAAGACTCCCACCCACTTTCGCCATTTATTCACAAAAGCTCGTAAAGCTTTTCGTTTGGTTTATTGTTTTATGGCATACAAACCTGAATGGGTTATTTAAGATTTTTATTCCTGCTAACAATTTTTTCAAAAATGTATTATTATTGGTAATTTTTTTTCAAAAACGCATTGCTGGTAAAAATTCCCCCCACCAATGTATTGCTGGTATTAAAAACCTATTTTTCATAGTGTTTCGACTTTTGAGAGGGCTTAACTATTTCCCCAAAGCTGGGACTCTGACAGGTGCTACCATACAGATTCAGGGTGGACCTGGGAACACCAGCAATTAAGAGGTGGTTCCATGCACCACAAAACCTCCTGATCAAAGAACTTGCAGTCGGATGTAGTTTATTGTCTTACCCAGGAAGGTAAGACGATAAACTACGTCTTATCCAGGATGTTTTATCCAGGACGCCGGATCTAGTTTAACATCATATCCAGGAAGCCGGACGTACTTTAACGTCTTACACATGACGCCGGATGTAGTTTCACGTCTTACCCAGAAGGCCGGATGAAGTTTAATGTCATACGCAGGACACCGGATGTAGTTTAACGTCTTACCCAGGACGCCGGATCTTGTTTAACATCATTCCCAGGACGCCGGATGTAGTTTAACGTCTTACACAAGACGCCGGGTGTAATTTAACATCATAACCAGGACAGCCGTTGTAATTTAACGTCTTACCCAGGACGCCGGATGTAGTATATCGCCTTATACAGTACGCCGGATGTAGTTTAATGTCTTACCCAGGACGCCGGTTGTAGTTTAATGTCATGCACAAAACCCCGGATGTAGTTTAATGTATTTTAATCTCTTACCCAGGACGCCGGATGTAGTTTAGCCTCTTAACTAGGGCGCCGGATGTAGTATAACGTCTTTTACAGGACGCCGGGTGTAGTTTAACATCATAACCAGGACGCCAGTTGTAGTTTAACTTCTTATCCGGGTCGTTGGATGTAGTTGAACGTCACACCCAGGATGCCGGATGTAGTTTATTGTCATACGGAGGGTGGAGCCCGTCAGGGATAGCTGCCTTTCTCTCTATCCCTTGTCGTCGGTATGCCGTGTTTTCCAAGCCCTCCTTCCTTATTTTGTGTTCAAGGAATTTCAACTGTGTCTTTCTGATTCTGGGCATGCTTTCGTTTTGTTGACATTTTCCTTAAGACTTCCTCGTTGCATACTCGCTTCGTTCACGTAATTCTCAGTATCCTTCTGTGGAACCATATTTATGTTTTGTCCGGTTTTCTATTCATTTATGCGGGCATTGTCCAACGTTCACTGCCATATAAGGGGATAGATATCATATCACACTTTTCTTTGTTTCTAACGTATCTTTTTTATTTATCAGCACTTTACGATAGCTTTTGAAATGCTTTTTTTTCACTAGTGCTATGTATGTTCGGATCTTCCTAGATATTTAAAGTTTTATGCCTCCTTGATGTTGACATCTCCAATTTGTAACTCGTATCCTGGGCTTTTCCTCTTACTGATGACCAAGGCTTTGTATCTTTTTGAAGTTGATGCTTAGTCTTACTATAGGATTTGTTCTGTAACTGTCCCCATATTTCTAATTATACTCGAATATATATATATATATATATATATAGATAGATATGGAAAGGCTGAGCTCGCTACCTAGCTAGATTTTTCTTAAGCTTACATTTACACGTAACAAATACTAAAGCGTGAGAGAAACAGATAGATATGAACAGAATTTGATAGATAGATAGATAGATAGATAGATAGATAGATAGATAGATAGATAGATAGACTGATATGAATAGAATTAAATAGATAGATATGAACAGAATTTGATAGATAGATATGAACAGGATTAGATAGATACATACATAGACAGATAAGAAGAGAATTAGATAGATAGATAGATAGATAGATAGATAGATAGATAGATAGATGGTACCAAAAATACTTTTACAATTTTGGTGGCGGTTCCTCACACCAAAATAAGAAAAAATGTCCATATAAAAATATGTCGGGAAATTCTTCCTTTTGAGCCATTGTTTAAAGAAGTTTACGCTAGATGGCTCTGTGTTGCCATGTAGACTAGGTGAGATTTGTCGCTCGTGTACATTTGTGGCAATCTATCTTCTACATTTAATGCGTGTAATAATGAGTCAACTGAGAAGTGTTCCATTTAACAATAGCAGGATATTTATATCGTGAGCAGGTAGACATGATTTTTACATACGATCGTTCGAATGGTAATGGACGCGAGGCTGCCCGTAGTGTCATATTGCGTTTCCAGGCTGAAGGCAGCCGAGTCATCCAACCATTGCTGCTGTTTACCGTTGCAATGCTAAGACACGATCCGTGGCACCATAAACTATGGATCGTGGAAGACGGAGATCCGCGCGTACGCCTTATAACACGGCCGACCCGGCTCAATCCTAGATTGTTCCTACGCTGGTCAGTACTGGCGCCGGTCAACTAATGGTCATCTGTTGTCAGTGAAAACCCAAAACTCATAAAAGCCGCTGGGGTAATTTTCATTTGGTTTCTATAATCGTTGGTACAACGAAATTAGCCCTTCCCGTTCGATTCACTATCATGGCACTTATCTCTTGCTTCTAATACTTGGAGTGCGTTAAACATGAGATATTAGGTCGAGCAATCTCGGCGGCATGTCACGTTCGCTGTTGATTCGTCTCAACCCTCTCCAACGGCAGCACCTACTGCCGGCTTCAACTGAACGTTCAGTTTATATACATCTCACACAATTATCATTACTCCTCAAAGCACATTACGTATTCTTTAATTAATTATTTTCTCTAACCCTGGAGACATGACATCGACCCTAAACAAAGCGGTCTGCTATTTTCAAACAAACTTTCTTTCCACATTTCTCGACAATCGGCCGTTTTACAAAACAATAATTTTTCACATCAGCACATTTTTAAAAATTATTTCTAAGGAATTTCATTTTGTTAATTTTTACAAGTATTTTTTGTTACATTTTCATAAAGTTGTCAATTTTTTCAAGGATTTCTCTTTGCTTTACGATTTCCAAAATTCGACCTAGTTTCAAATTCCATTGTTTACATTTTTGGTTTTACTTAAATTCGGTCACCAGCCGACAATGACCTTCAAATACCAACACAGTAAACGTTTCAAAAACGAAATTATTTACTTGAAATTTTTCTACTATTTTACATTCCGGCCTTTTTCGGGGACTCATAACAATTCTTATGTGAGTTTCTGCTTATCGGAAAGAAAAAGAAAAGATACGATTTTTTTTCCTCGCTTCATATTTCAATTCCTGTTTCCCACTTTAACGTTTTCAACCCTTCCAATGCCCCAATTCTATATGGTGTTTTCGAATGCCACGATAGTGTCAGATTCCTTTCAAACTACCACCGGTGAACCTTCATAGTGTCACAGCTTGACCACGAAGAACAAATTCTACGGGCTGTCGAATATAACCCAGGTATTAGCACACGTCATGTTGCCCTAGCATTTCGCACATCTCATAGTACCACAAGGAGGGTACTTCAAGAGCAGCTCCTGTATCCGTATCATCTGCAACGTGTGCAGGCTCTTTCGGCTTCTGATCACTCAGCACGGGAGAACAATTGCCGATGGTTTATTGCACAAACTGCCGATTCGTTTTTTGTCTCTTCAGTCTTGTTTACGAATGATGCAACATTTGGAAAAGATGGAATAACAAATTTGCACAACCAACAAACGTGTGCTGAAACTCACCATTTGTCTCTACCTACCCTGATGATGACTTGGATCAAATTTCTTCAGAAATGAACTTTGAACAATTCTTGATGAAATTCCATCCTTATCTGAGAAGGATTATTCGTAATTTGGAAAGTCGATCAATAAAATTAATCAACAAAAAGTATGTTGCCTTTAATAAGATTTGCTTTAATAAACATATATATATATATATATATATATATATATATATATATATATATATATATATATTAAAAAGAAATATAGTCTATTAAAATTTACGGTAGATGGCGTTCTGTTGCCATGTAGACTCGGTTATATCTGTGTTTCGTGCACATTTAAAGGCTAGTCCGTGATCAGGCAAATATGATTTTTACACACGGCTGCGCGAGTGATAATAGATGCGAGACTGCACGGTTGTATCAGATTGCGTTTCCAGTCCAAAGGTCGCCAAGTCAAGCACCCTTTGCTGCTGTTTATAATCGCGTTGTTGAGGCAGGATCCGTGTCACTATAAACCATGAAGACCGAGATCCGTTCGTCCGCTTGACGACGAAAAATACATTCTACGGGTTGTCGGAGACGATCCAGGTATCAGCATTTCGTACATCTCATAGTACCACAAGGAGGGTACTTCAAGAGCAGCTCCTGTATCCGTATCATTTGCAACGTGTGCAGGGTCTTTCGCCGTCTGATGACTCACCACGGGTGAACTTTTGCCGATGGCTTATTGCACAAACTGCAGATCCGTTGTTTGTCTCTTCAGTTTCGTTTACGGATGATGCAACATTTGGAAATGGAATAAGAAAATTACCCAACCAAGATTTGTGGGCAGATTGGAATCCATATGGTATAATACAGGCTAGACACTAGCATCAGTTTACGAGTAATATGTGGGCTGGAATTGTTGGTAACTATCTGGTAGATCCATATGTGCTCCCAGCACGTCTTACTGGAGCTGTTTACAGGAACTTCATTCCGAACACACTTCCAAACCTGATAGAGGATGAACACCTGATTATACTAAAAATATCTGGTTCAAGCTAGATGGGGCTTCAGCACATTTTAGTCACATCGTTCACGATACACTGACTGACATCTCCCATGAAAGATGGTTCATAGAAGGGGGACCCGTTACATGGCTTCATGTTTACCTGGCCTCAATCATTTGGATTTTCATCTCTGTGACCGCCTAAAGCAATTGGTTTATACAGTAGACATTAATAATCCAGAGACGTTTCATCAACGTGTCATTGGAGTCTTCAAAACCATTCAACACCGTGAAAGGGGCTACCGGTCAATGATCTGAAGAGTGCATTCGTGTGTAGAAGCAAGCGGAGTAAAAGATATTTTGAACATTTGATTTGATTTTCTGTGTTGAGATATATGTTTATGTGATCATTTTACTTTGTCTTGGTGTCAGGACCCCCCCAATGTCTGTAAAAGTAATTTTGATACCACATATAAATATATACTGGAGTAATACAGAAAGACAAATACACAAAGGTGAATAAAACAGGTGATTATTAAGATGAAATAACCCCCAAGTATGTAAAGCAAAATAAACACACCTGGACGATACCTGGACTGAATTAAACGTTTGCCTCAAAATACCAGAAGAAGGACATATAATACAATCAACTGAAACGTTGTCAGAACACAAACCAAAACTAACATGGCGGTCAGAATAGACTGGTTCGGGAGAGATATCCACGAAGACATTTTTTTTCTTTCTCTATGTGTCTGTTATGAGACCTTACCCATAATAACATCATGGACTATTCCATACGTAATAAATACTGCGCCTCAAGAGGAAGCAGGGAAGTCAGCTGGCTGATCGGCTGATCGGTTGAACTCTCTGCCTTTGGACGGGGAGGAAACCGAACGAGGCTACGCCGAAGAGCGGAGTCTCTTTCGGGGAGGTAAACCGACCCTGAACCTAATTTATACGGGTTCAATGGGCATATTTTTGGCCGAGCCCACGGGCTCGGAGATCCCACGGGCTCGGAGATCACGCGTTAAACCGGCCTTGTGCCACATAATACCCTCATGGGGGGGTGACTAAATACTGTTCAGTCCGAAGTCGGGCGACCGGCTGACCGGCTGATCGGTTGAACTATCTGCCTTCGGGCGGGGAGGAACCCGAAAGAGGCTACGCCGAAAGGCGGAGTCTCTTTCAGGGAGGTAAACTGACCCTGAACCCGTTTATACGGGTTCAAAGGGCATATTTTTGGCCGAGCCCACGGGCTCGGAGATCCCACGGGCTCGGAGATCCCACGTTAAACCGGCCTTGTGCCACATGATGCCCTCGTAGGGGGTGACTAAATATTGTCTGAAGTCTGGAGTGAGGTCCGTCAGAAGTCCGTCAGTCAGTCAGAGCGAGCGAGTCAATCAGTCGAGCCAGAGGCAGTCCGAAACAGAGTCGCGTTCAGACAATTCAGACAATTACTGCAAGACATTGGATTAGTGATACTGGTCGAGACTACATTGTTCTCCCTACTAAACCTGATTATTCGTACTAACACTTTCTACTTCTCTGTATATATTCCTCTTTGTAATATATCTGTGTTATTCCATATCCGTGTTCGAGTTCTTCTTTATTGGTTCTACCTTGGACCATCACCGTGGTACAAGGACCTGGACCATAACAGTGTCATATACTTTCAGAATGTTGGTGTTTATGGTTCTCCACATCTTCATATCCTTTGTAGTTTTTGGTAAATTATGTATTTTGCTATATCTCCTAAACTATGTCATCCATTTGTCATTTTCGTTTATGGTCGATTTCATCACGATTCTTTTATTAAGCTTGGAGTGTAATTGTACATTTTTATGGCTCAAAGTAGAGTGAAATAACGTTATAAAAACCTCGGAGAATTCCAGTAAGATATCTTTAATCATTTCTAAGATACAAAATTTCAGATCTTAATCTAATAATTGTGCAGCTTTGCTGTTACACTCGGTATGTCAGTGAATACTGGACAATCTCATAACAGATGAAGTAAAGATTTGAGGCAACAAATATGTAGTTCTACAGAAGGATGCTGAGAATAGCATAGACTGTACACGTGAGCAACTTTTAGAGAAAATGGAAAAAATGGACACTGAATCTTATCATCAGGAAGTGACAGTTGAAATTTCCAGAATGAGGAAAGAGAGCTTCGAAAATTTGATATTCGCAAGACAGTTTGAAGGCAAGTGGGACTGAAGAAAACAAGTTTAATACTC